AGAGATACAGATCAAAGACAGAAAATTTCAATTAAACACCATTTAGTTCTAAGTTTGGCCAGGAAGTTGCCATATAAACTCATTAGGTAATTGGTAATTTATTTTTATGTAAATATGTAACACATACATGTATACTTACAGATTTTTTTTTTTTTTTTGAGACAGAGTTTCGCTCTTGTCGCCCAGGCTGGAGTGCAGTGGCATGATCTCTGCTCACTGCAACCTCTGCCTCCTAGATTCAAGTGATATTCCTGCCTCAGCCTCCCCAGTAGCTCGAATTACAGGCACCTGCCCCAATGCCTGGCTAATTTTTGTATTTTTAGTAGAGGTGGCTTTTCACCATGTTGGCCAGGCTGGTCTTGAACTCCTGACCTCCGGTGATCCATCCACCTAGGTCTCCCAAAGTGCTGGGATTACAGGCATGAGCCACCACGCCCGGTCACTTACGGACTTTTCTATCTTTAGCTAGTAAAAAGCCTATAACAATCTTCAACCCAGAAAAATGGGCACTTCTAGCGGCTAGACTGTGGCCTTGAAATACCATTTCCCACTAAAAGAGCCCAACAGTTCACAAACTTATGGCTAAAAGCTTGGTACAGGAAATGTACAAGATAAGCCTGGAACACTTTGTCATATCAGATGGGAAAAAACTGGCAATAAAATAACTGTCTAAGGCTGGGTGCAGTGGTTCATGCCTGTAATCCCAGCACTTTGGGAGGCTGAGGTGGGCGGATCACCTGAGGTCGGGAGTTCAAGACCAGCCTGACCAACATGGTAAAACCCCGTCTCTACTAAAACAAAATTAGCCAGGCGTGGTGGCGCATGCCTGTAATCCCAGCTACTCAGGAGGCTGAGGCAGGAGAATCGCCTGAACCTGGGAGGCAGAGGTTGCGGTGGGCTGAGATCACGGTGAGCTGAGATTGCACCACTGCACTCCAGCCTGGGCAACAAGAGCAAAACTCCGTCTCAAAAAAAAAAAAAAAACCTAAAACTAAAAGGAAAACTATCTAGTCACATAAGAAGGATCCTAGGGGCCAGGCATGGTGGCACATGCCTGTAATCCTAACACTTTGGGAAGCCGAGTCGGGTGGATCATCTGAGGTCAGGAGTTTGAGACCAGCCTGGACAACATGGTGAAACCCCGTCTCTACTAAAGATATAAAAATTAGCTGGGCATGGTGGCACGTGCCTGTGATCACAGCTACTTGGGAGCCTGAAGCAGGAGAATGGCTTGAACCCAGGAGATGCGGGTTGCAGTGAGCCAAGATCGTGCCATTGCACTTCAGCCTGGGCGACAAGAGCGAAACTCCATCTCAAAACAAAAAACAAAAGAAAAGAGAAAGAGAAAGACCAAACATTGATCTAGTCTTTATTTTACAAATGGTATCAGTAGTTACCAAATAGTAGGTGATGTAAGAAATTGTTTATATTTGTACATAATAAACAAAAAATAAATGTTAGAATTAGAATATGGCTGTTTTAGAATGTCTGATGAATTAATACATCCAGGCACTGAGCATAAATGCTTGCTAAAAATCACAGAAAGAGAGACAACCAGAAAGTTTATGCTGAGAACCTAAACCATTCACTCCCACACTCAGCCTTAAAACACAGAAGTGGCCCTACCAATCCCCCCACAGGTAGCTTACTGTCTACATAAACATGATGTCACTATCCCACTGTTTTCCTCAGCACAATTATACTGTTCTGGAAGTTTCTTGCATAGGCAAATGGCTTCATTGTTCATTGTTCATTACTGGAAATTCCTGAAAGATCCACCAACTCTTTTTTTTTTTTTTTGTGAGACGGAGTCTCACTCTGTCGCCCAGGCTGGAGTGCAGTGGCGCGATCTCACCTCACTGCACGCTTCGCCTCCCGGGTTCACACCATTCTCCTGCCTCAGCTTTCCCAGTAGCTGGGACTACAGGCGCCCACCACCATGCCCGGCTAATTTTTTTGTGTTTTTAGTAGAGATGGGGTTTCATAGTGTTCGCCAGGATGGTCTCGATCTCCTGACCTCGTGATCCACCTGCCTTGGCCTCCTAAAGTGCTGGGATTACAGGCGCGAGCCACCGCGCCCAGCCCAGCGATCCATTAACTCCTAAATGGCAAACATCAACAGTTTGTACTCTAGAAAATTTTCAGTTCCTAACCTCAAAATTCTAACCTAGCTGTTTCCACTAATTCTCCACTGTGGTATTGTCGTCTTTACCTAATCCTAATCAAGTCCCCGCATGAAGATCAGCCTTAAACCACACTTTTAATTCTCAGTAAAAGCCATCCTTGCCCTCCCGCCCCTGAGACACTAAATAAAGCTCTTTAGAGGTGGTGTTTTCCTTTAACACAGTAAACCGTAAGCCCAGTTCTCTCTGGTGTGAGGGGAGCAGGAAAAGTGCCAACATATGATGCATACAATACTGCCCAGGAAGTTGTCTTGCAAAAAAATAAATAAAATAAATTGAATCAAAATCGACTAAGTGTAACAGTCAGATAAATCTGGCATAGCTGACTCCACCTTACTTCTAACCTCACAAGCTAATAGCGTTTGCTCATTCCTGCACGCTGGCCAAGTTAACAATGGGAGGATTTAGTTTATAGTATAACTTTAAAGCAAGGATAATAATCCCTTTCCAAAACTATTAATAATTCCCAAGGAGACAGGGAGGGTGTACATACAAGTAACAACGTTATGTTAAAGATTTACAGGAGCATTGTGACCTGACCGAGGACAACGTTGTGCAGCCTTCTTGGACCCCTGCTGACGCCCAGATATCTGTAGTCGCCAGTCACCTCCTGACCTCAACCTCCTCCTTGTTCCCCTTTGCCCAACATGAAAAACGGCATGAGATTCATGCCTTTTAAGATGGTTCTTTAGGACATTAGTCTGCCATCTTCTCCGTTTGCTGGCTCTCTGAAGTATAAAGTTCCTCGCCCCAACACCTTGTCTCTTGACTTACTGGTTGTTGTGCAGTGAGCAGTGTGAGCTCTGGACTCAGACACATAAGCCTCTTGATCCCTCTACTTAATTAGAGGATATAGAGGGGTCAGAGAACATATTTAAGCAAATCTCAGGGATGGCATCAGCAAAATCTAGAATGGAAGATGTTTTCTTCAGCAAATAAGGGGTTAGGAACACAAAGAAAGATGAAGACAAAACTTAGAGACTTGTGAAAACTTAAAAAGACTTGAAATTGGAGAAAGAATAAAAGGAAGGAACTTATTAACATTAAAATCAGAACAGTGGTTACACTTAGCAGGAGGAAGAAGATTGTGACTGGTTGGAGACATGTGGAGGACTTCAGAATTAACTAGAAACTATCTCCTTGTTTAGAAATACTGCTTGGAGTGTATAAAAGAATCTTGTATGCCATTATTATAACCTTTCTGTAACTCTAAAATTATATTAAAATAAAAAAATGTTTTAAAGTTTTAACTCCTGACCCAGCTGTGGTGACATAATTGTTTAACTTATAAGACTCAGTAAGCTACGCATTTGTTATATGTTGTTCTCTGAATCTGTCTGATGTTTTCAAAAATGCCTTGAAAACAATTACATCGTTTCTAATCCTTCGTATTCCCAACAATTCAAATTCAACAATACCTCATATGATCTGACTCCTCCTAACAGTGTGACCTCATTTCTTGTCACTCTCCTCTTAGGATCTCTATTCTGGTCTACTTTAGTGCTCCTCAAACTCACATAGCTCTCTCCATTCTCCTCCCTTGACTCTCCACATTCCTTCCCTTCACTGCCCCAGTCATCTCCTTAGCCTTCCAAGCTCATTATTCAGCTTGGAATATTCTTCCCCAGATAAACACATGGCCCGTGACCTTATACCATGTCTCTTTCCAAATACTACTGCCCCAAAGAAGCTGTCCCAGGCAATCTCATCCAAAACGGCCTAATCTCTGCTTACTTTCTACCATTGCTTATTCCACTGTCTAATAGTATTTGTTTGCCTGTTTATTTTATTTTATTTTTGAGACAGAGTCTCACTCTGTTACCCAGGCTGCAGTGCAAAGGTGTGATCTCGGCTCACTGCAACCTCTGCCGCCTGGGTTCAAGCAATTCTCCTGCCTCAGCCTCCCGAGTAGCTGGGATTACAGGCACCTGCCACCATGCCCAGCTAATTTTTGTATTTTTGGTAGAGACGGGGTTTCACCATTCAAGATCGGTCAGGCTGGTCTTGAACTCCTGACATCATGATCCACCTGCCTCAGCCTCCCAAAGTGTTGGCATTACAGGTATGAGCCACTGCGCCCGGCCTACCTGTTTATTTTTATGTGTTCTTTAGTACAATGTAAACTTCCATGAGGATAAGGACCTTACATGTCTTGCTCATGATCACTACATTGATATGTGTGTTGTGTGTGTGCGTGTGTGCAAAAGGGGAGCCGGAAAAACAGCTGAGTCCAAAACACAGGTAAAATACTGCACTCAAGAAAAGAGGCTGGGTGTAGTGGCTCACACCTGTAATCCCAGCACTTTGGGAGGCTGAGGCGTGCGGATCACGAGGTCAGGAGTTCGAGACCAGCCTGGCCAACATGGTGAAACCCTGTCTCTACTAAAAATACAAAAATTAGCCGGGGGTGGTGGCACACGTCTGTAATCCCAGCTACTCGGGAGGCTGAGGTGGGAGAATTGCTTGAACCCAGGAGGCGGAGGTTGCAGTGAGTGGAGATCAAGCCACTGTACTCCGGCCTCGGTGACAGAGCAAGACTCTGTCTTGGAAAAAAAGAAAAGAAAAGAAAAAAGAAAGCACCCATCACTGAAAACGGGTTTGAAATAGAAAAGAAATAAGGTGGTTGGTAAATGGGGTAAAGTTGAAGCTTCTTCTATAGCTTATGCTGCGATCTTTATTCCCCACCAGGTTGTAGGCCTTTGCTCCACAAGTCTGGGTGCCTAGGAGGGCTTCACAAACAAAGTGACACAAAAGTGTCTCCTTTCTCTTACCACATGGGCTGTGGCTGGCCCTGATGGTGTCCCCTGCCTTCCTTACCTGTGAACTGTGTTTCTTCCCTCAAAATCATCCAGGGCTCTTTTCCTTGCTCCAGTAAGTCCACCACAACTGGTTTAGAAATGGAATGTCCTCCTTATAAGAAAAGAAATGCCACATGTTATAAAAATAAAAACAAAAGTAACAGAAACCTTTGAGCTTTGGTTAAATTTACAATGAACTAAGGACTTCAAATAAAAGAGGGGAGAGATGATTAAAGAAATGAAGCAGGTACAGTAAAACCTTATTTTAATGTAAACTCATACACGCTTGGTCTCTTAGGAGAAAGTTTTACCTGTGACCTTATAAATTGTCTATTTCCTAATATTACTACCCCAAAATAGCTGTGAAGTTCTCTAGAGCCAGAAGGCTGGGGCACAAATTATTCCTCTTAAATCTACCAACCTTGTGACTTTGGCCATGTGACTTCAACTCATTATTCCAATTTGGCAAATAAACTGGGCATAATACTACTACTATTGGCTAGGCGCAGCGGTTCACGCCTGTAATCCCAGCATTTTGGAAGGTTGAGGTGGGAGGATCACTGAGACGAGGAGTTTGAGACCAACCTGGGCAACACAGCGAGACCTCATCTCTACAAAAAATTAGTCAGGCAGGGTGGTGCATCTATAGTCCCAGCTACTCAGGAGGCTGAGGCAGGAGGATCACTTGAGCCCAGGAGGTCAAGGCTACAGTGAGCTATGATTGCACCACTGCACTCCAGCCTGGGCGACAGAGCAAGACCCAGTCTCAAAATAAATAAGTAAATAAATAAATAAATAAGATAATAACAATAATACTAACACACAGTTATATGAGGATTAAGTTATTTTATATATATATATATTCCCCTCCCTTCTGAAGAGTGGCTGGGGACATAATGACCACAGTTGTACCAATTATGATTATCTTATTATTTCTGTATGAGATTAAAAAAAAGCATCCCGACTGATATATAAAATCTTCATTCAAACTCAATGCAAAGTTCATGAATTATAACTTTCAACAATAAATCATACAAATTGGCTACAGGAAATGAAATGTGGACTCTTCAGTTTTCAACAAATATTGTTCATCTAATCCAGCACTATATAAGTCACAGGGGTTCTTCTTATACTCAGAGTAAATCATGAATCTGCATCTGTTGTCTCTGCAGGTGGATCAGATGATGACACAGCATATCTATAAGAATTCTGGAAATACACACAATGGGAAACCAGGATTCCTGGACAATGGTTATTCATGGACTAATAATATATAATTTTATAATAATAATATACAATTTTAACACAGCCCCTTGGATATTAAGGAAAGGAGGCAATCATAAGGGGCAGGAGAATATGTGACTATCTCTAAAGGATGAAGAAAATGATGGTGTTTGGTGGCACAGCCATTGTCAAACAGGCGGAGCTGAAATCTTCCTCTAAGAACAGGAAGAACTTCAACTATATAAAATACAGCCTTGAAATTCACTGCATTGAAAGGTAACATGTCACAGATCACATTTTAAATTACTTGAGGCAAATAAACTTACCCAGTGAGACCAGGTTTCTGTAGTTCTCCAACATCACATCCCTGTATAAGTCCCTCTGATTAGGGTCCAGGTATTCCCACTCCTGCTGAGAGAAGTCTATGGCCACATCCCTGAATGTCACTAATTCCTGAAACTGCAAACCCATTCATTACATAATTTTAAAAACATTTTAAAGATGGAAAGACAGGATATTAACAGCACACTGGAGAAAAGGAGTGATATAGCATATGTGGCTAATGACTGGTAGCAGACTAAAGCAATGTGTCTACATATTCCTAAAGGATCCTATTGCCACAGACAAACTTTTCTGCATGTGGAAGGCTCCCACAATAATTCAGACCTGCTGAGGAATGGATAAAATAAAATTCAATGAAGTATTAAAGACAAAACTACATAGTCTGCTAGTTGTGTGATGCATAAATTCCCAATAAACATGAGTTTCTAAACTATTTTTCCTTTAAGTTAGAAAAATGAGATGTCCTTGTCAAATTTAATAATCTCCATATTTTATTGTTTTGTTCTATTTATTTATTTTTTTTGAGACGGGGTCTTAATCTTGCTTAGGCTGGAGTGCAGTGACTCAAACAAGGCTCATTGCATCCTTGACCTCCCAGGCCCAGGTGATTCTCCCATCTCAGCCTTTCTAGTAGCTGGGACTACAGGTGGGCAAGACCCGCCCAGTTAATTTTTGTATTTTTTGTAGAGACTGGTTTTACCATGTTGCCCAGGCTGGTCTCAAACTCCTGGGCTCAAGCAATCTGCCTGCCTCAGCCTCCCAAAGTGCTGGGATTACAGGTATGAGCCACTGCACCTGGCCAATTTCCTTTTTTTTTTAAAAAAAAAAAAAAAAAAAAGCTTTTGCAGAACATTTAGACATTTCCACAAGCCTCAAGTTACATCATTATGTCAGAACACATAATAAGCATTTTTCTTTATTTTGACAAATACATTTATTGACTGTGCAACAATCAATTTTATTATGAATATTTCAGACTTACTCCATTGTTAATCCATCTTTTACCTTCATGTCCATTTAAAAAAAAATTTTTTTTTTTTTTTGAGACAGACGCACTCTGTTGCCCAGGCTGGAGTGCAGTGACACAATCCCAGCTTACTGCAGCCTTGACCTCCCAAGCTCAAGCAATCCTCCTACCATAGCCTCCCAAGTAACTGGGACTACAGGCCCAGCTGATTTTGTACTTTTTTGTAGAGATGGGGGTCTCACTTTTTTTGCAAGGGGTCTCAAACTCCTGGCCTCAAGCGAGCCTCCCGCCTTGGCCTCCCAAAGTGCTGGCATTACAGGTATGAACCACCGTGGCTAGCCTACCTTCATATACTTTGTTGGACAAAACTTCAAAGATCTTCCCCAGTTCTGGAAATCAGCATATTTACTCCTTAGGATAATATTCTCATTCATCGCCATTTTCCATCATTTAATACTTTTCTTATTCCAGAATGGATACTGATATAGGATGACACATAATCAAAAAGATGTCACCCAAGTTCAGCAGCACATGTTCAACCACAAAATAAAAACTTGCCTCTCAGTAATTCCTTGGCAAGATCCATGGTATATCTCCAACAATTCTAAAATTCTTAAAGAATATGAGATCTCATGGCATACTAAGACAGACCAATTAATAACCAAATCCCATCTTATCTGCCTAGAAAACTCAGGTCTGTGGAGAATGTCAAAACCTACCTATGGTACCCAAATAGGACCAACATCTCTAATTCACCAAACCAAGGACCTATAAAGGAAGCTCAAATAGTTCCCCGTTGAGACTTCACTCCTTTACTGCTCTATCATAGACTTTGGTTGAAGAATAAGCACATGAGTATTAAATACATTTGACAATAAATAGAAAAGTGGACAGAAAACACTTGTAGGGAGAAAACTGAGTTATTTGCTATCACTATTCACTGTATTAGAAGAAAGTGGGGACAGATAACTGAAGGGGGCCTTCTTAAATAGGAAGCCTTAGGTTAATGAAAAAATCCACATAACCTATGATCATGATATTGCAAGGAAACAGAATTAATCAACTTACACAGGTCATGGTTTTAGAACTGTAAGACCTGATCAGTCCTACTCGGTGGGGTTCCAATACCAGAAACATTCAAACTCCAGAGAATCCAGAGCTGAGAGAAGAAAAGAGATGTTAGTGTTCCCAATATGACTTAATTTAATAAAATCTTTCACCTCCTCTATTTCTCCTTCCAAATTAATCCCTCATAACTGAACACATAACTTAAGGAAAAACAGACAATGAATCTAAGCACTCCTTCACACCCCAGGAAACCTAGCTACACAAAGGTAGTTTTAGAGTAAGTCACTGGCTCATTAAAGCCAGAACCAGACAAGATAACAAGATGTTTTCTGGACAAGCCTCCAATTTGGGAAGGCTGATCTAGACTTGAGATTTGGCTGCTCAGTTTCTCCATGAGAAGATTCACTTGCCTTCATTCCCACCTTCCAAGGCTGAGAGAGGGCTCACCGTTCAAACTAGAAGCTTTTTTTTTTTTCTGAGATGGAGGCTCGCTCTGTTGCCCAGGCTGGAGTGCAGTGGTGAGATCTCAGCTCACTGCAACCTCTGCCTCCCAGGTTCAAGCGATTCTCCTGCCTCAGCCACCCAAGTAGCTGGGACTACAGGTGCGCACCACCACACCTAGCTAATTTTTTTTGTATTTTTAGTAGAGACAGGGTTTCACTATGTTGGTGGGGCTGGTCTTGGTGATTCACCCGCCTTGGCCTCCCAAAGTATTCAGATTACAGGCATGTGCCATCGTGCCTGGCCTCAAACTAGAACCTCCTCTAGGGCATCAGAATCAGTTGAAATTGGTCAAAATATGAGAGAGAACACAGCACAGAAGGAAATGCTTAGGCCTGGTTCTGTGTTGAGTACAAACTGTCTTGCTAAATACAAAATATACACATAATAGAATACCAAGAAGCTATCAGATGTTAAGTAGAGAAATGTATTTAATAAAATAAAAAAATTTCAGATATACTGTCAAAAGAAAATTAAGATGAAAAAACAGAATGTGCAATATCACTGAATCATTAAAAAGACAGACAAGCATTGAGACACAGGCTATAGGACATCAATACATTGAGAAATCTGGTAATTTATTTATTCTGTTACATTACAACATGATCGTATGTTACCATTACTTTTCTTTTAGTTGCTATCTTGATTTTCTTTTTTGAATATATTTCATAATCATTTTAACATTGTTCATGCATTAACTTAAAAAATACATGTGTACACACACACACACAAATGTGTGTGATAAAAGTTGGGTTTGTTTTGTTACTTAGCCACAATGTCATCCAGACTAATGTTAAACTCTCTCTCTCTTTTTTTTTTTTTTTAAAGGGGCAAGGCGTCTTGCTCTGTCATCCAGGCTAGAGTACAGTGGTGTGATCATAGCTCACTGCAAACTCAAGCTTCTGGGTTCAAGTAATCCTATTGCCTCAGTCTCTCGACTGGTTGGGACTAAAGGTGTGTACCACCGTGCCTAGTTAATTAAAAACATTTTTTTTAGAGACAGGGTCTTACTATGTTACCTAGGCTGGTCTCAAACTCCTGGGCTCAAGAGATCCTCACTCCTAGGCCTCCCAAACTGTTGGGATTACAGGCATGAGCTACCACGCCTGGCCTACTTTCACTTTTTATCTAACATCACTTGAAGAAAAAATTAGACAGTAAAAGCTTACAGAATACATTCACTAACTTCCATATATATTCCATGGACTTAGTTACAATGATGACCAGAATCTAATCAATGCCACCTCCACATGAATTCCCAAGGCACATCACCTGAATCTCTCTAGTGGTCTTCACTATACACTGATTTACCCATTCCTATTTACAACTTATAGTCCTTGCTGAATTATTGGCATTTTAAAGTAGTGACTAGTCCTACCACAGCAATCAGACAAGAGAAAGAAATAAAGGGCATCCAAATTGGTAAACAGGAAATCAAACCTGCTGTTTGCTGATGATATAATCATATACCTAGAAAACCCTAAAGACTCATCCAAAAAGCCCCTAGATGTGATAAATAAATTCCATAAAGTTTCAAGATACAAAATTAATGTACACAAATCAGTAGCATTGCTATATACCAACATCGACTAAGCTGAGAATCAAATCAAGAACCCAACCTCTTTTACAACAGCTGCAAAAACAAAACAAAAGCAAAAACAAAAATCCAGAAAACAAAAAACTTAGGAATATACCTAATCAAGGAGGTGAAAGATCTCTACAAGGAACACTACCAAACACTGCTAAAAGAAATCATAGATGACACAAACAGATGGAAGCACATCCCACACTCATGGATGGGTAGAATCAGTATTGTGAAAATGACCATACTGTCAAAAGCAATCCATAAATTCAATGCAATTCTCATCAAAATACCATCATCATTCTTCACAGAACTAGAAAAAACAATCCTAAAATGCATATGGAACAAAAAAAAGAGCCTGCATAGTCAAAGCAAGACTAAGCAAAAAGAACAAATCTGGAGACTTAACAGTCCCTGACTTCAAACTATACTACAAGGCAATCATTACCAAAACAGCATGGCAGCGGTATAAAAACAGGCATGTAGACCAATGGAACAGAATAGAGAACCCAGAAAGAAAGCCAAATACTTACAGCCAACTGATCTTCGACAAAGTAAACAAAAACATAAAGTGGGGAAAGGACACACTATTCAACAAATGGTGCTGCGATAATTGGCAAGCCACGTATAGAAGAATGAAACTGGAGCTTCATCTCTCACCTTAGACAAAAATCAACTCAAGATGGATCAAAGACTTAAATCTAAGACCTGAAACCATAAAAATTCTAGAAGATAACATTGGAAAAACTCTTCTAGACATTGGCTTAGGCAAAGAGTTCATGACCAAGAACCCAAAACCAAATGCAACACAAGCAAAGATAAATAGATGGGACTTAATTAAACTAAAAAGCTTCTGCGCAGCAAAAGAAATAATCAGCAGAGTAAACAGACAACTCACAGAGTAGGAAAAAGTATTCACAAACTATACATCTGACAGAGGACTAACATCCAGAATCTACAAGGAACTCAAACAAATCAGCAAGAAAAAAACAAATAATCCCATCAAAAAGTAGGCTAAGGACATGAATAGGCAATTCTCAAAAGAAGATATACAAATGGCCAACAAACATATGAAAAAACGCTCAACATTATCAGTTATCAGGAAAATGCCAATAAAAATCACAATGTGATACCACCTTACTCCTCTAAGAATGACCATAATTTTAAAAAATCAAAAGATAATGGACATTGCCATGTTTGTGGTGAAGAGAGAACACTTCTACACCACTGGTGGGAACAAAAACTAGTACAACCACTATGAAAAACAGTATGAAGATTCCTTAAAGAACTAAAAGTAGAACTACCATTTGATCCAGCAATTCCACTAATGGGTATCTATCCAGAGGAAAAGAACACATTACATAAAATTCTTTTATTATTATTTTTTGAATGATAGAGATAGGGGTCTCACCATGTTGGCCAGGCTGGTCTCAAACTCCTGGCCTTAAGTGATCTGCTGGCCTCAGCCTCCCAAAATGCTGGGATTACAGGTGTGAGCCACTGTACCCAGCCAGAAGTAATTATATGAAAAAGACATTTGCACACATGTTTACAGCAGCACAATTCACAATTGCAAAAATATGGAACCAGCCTAAATGTCTATCAACAAGTGGATAAAGAAAATGTGGTGTGTGTACACATATATATACACTATGGAATACTACTTGGCCATAAAAAGGAATGAAATAATGGCATTGGATATAATCTGAATGGAGTTGAGACCATTATTCTAAGTGAAGTAACTCAGGAATGGAAAACCAAACATTACATGTTCTCATTTATGAGTGGGAGCTAAGCTATGAGGATGCAAAGACATAAGAATGATATAATGGACCTCAGGAGGCTGAGGGAGGAGAATCGCTTGAACTCAGGAGGCAGAGGTTACAGTGAGCCAGACTGTGCCACTGCACTCCAGTCTGGCGATAGAGCAAGCTTCTGTCTCAAAAAATAAATAAATAAATAAATAATATTTAAGAGATGGTCTCTTGAAGTAACTAATACAAACTTCAAGTCTTTTTGTTAGTCTTTTGGGATATGATTTTCAGATTTAAGCTCTGATACTTAATAAAATGTTTCTTAAAGTCTCATTGGTTAATTGGGAGAGAATGTCATTTAGCATATAAAATAGTCTGAAGATGAAGTAGAATAATCCATATAAAATATTTAATAAAACAATTGCTTAATGTAAGTTGGCTTTTTATTATCAGAGATGAAGAACTTTACAAATTTCCTAAATGTACTGCTTTCAAAGAAACATAATTCTACTAATTCCATTTTTTTTTTTTTTTTTTGAGACGGAGTTTTGCCTTGTTGCCCTGGCTGGAGTGCAATGGAGTCCTCTGTTGGATGTATAGCTCTCAGCTCACTGCAATCTCTGCCTCCGGGTTCAAGCAATTCTCCTGTCTCAACCCCCCAAAGAGTTGGGATTACAGGCGCATGCCACCACACCCAGCTAATTTTTATATTTTTAGTAGAGATGGGGTTTCATCATATTGGTTAGGCTAGACTTGAACTCCTAACCTCAGATGATCCGCCCACCTTGGCCTCCCAAATTGTTGGGATTACAGGCGTGAGCCACCGTGCCCGGCCTACTAATTCCATTTTCTCATGTGAAAAAAATTAATGTTTCTCTGGCCTGAATTCTTATGTGGCTAACTAAAAAATGTTGAAGGCTGGCTTTAAGCATACAATTCTCCTCAATAAACAATATTAGCAAAAATGATTCTCAAATACCTAAGGAGAAAATGTGCCCTTCCTTTGCCCCCAGCAGCTAGAGAAAAAACATTTCAGTAACCTAAAGCTGCTCAGAGAATGTGATCTGATAAACTGCCAAATTAAGAATTTAACAGCAGCCTAAATTCTGTTCTTCAGTACAACATGGTGATTTCTGTGACTCTTCCTAACTTTTACTATCTATCTCATGTTTCGGCTAGTATCTATTCCGAGTATCTATTGTGTAGACAATGTTTCCAATACACTAGGTACAATAGATCTAAATTTCATACAAT